AGAGGAAATAGGCAGTCTACCTGAAAAAGAATTCAGAATAATGATAGTAAAGATGATCCAAAATCTTGGAAATACAACAGAGAAAATGCAAGAAACATTTAACAAGGACCTAGAAGAACAAAAGATGAAACAAGCAATGATGAACAACACAAAAAATGAAATTAAAAAATACTCTGGAAGGGATCAATGGCAGAATAACTGAAGCAGAAGAATGGATAAGTGACCTGGAAGATAAAATAGTGGAAATGACTACTGCAGAACAGAATAAAGAAAAAAGAATGAAGAGAACTGAGGACAGTCTCAGAGACCTCTGGGACAACATTAAACACACCAACATTTGAATTATAGGGGTTCCAGAAGAAGAAGAGAAAAAGAAAGGGAATGAGAAAATATTTGAAGAGATTATAGATGGAAACTTCCCTAATATGGGAAAGGAAATATTTAATCAAGTCCAGGAAACACACAGAGTCCCATACAGGATAAATCCAAGGAGAAACACGCCAAGACACATATTAATCAAACTGTCAAAAATTAAATACAAAGAAAACATATTAAAAGCAGCAAGGGAAAAACAACAAATAACACACACGGGAATCCCCATAAGGTTAAGAGCTGATCTTTCAGCAGAAACTCTGCAACCCAGAGGGACTGGCAGGACATATTTAAAGTGATGAAGGAGAAAAACCTACAACCAAGTTTGCCCAGCAAGGATTGCATTCAGATTTGATAGAGAAATTAAACCTTTACAGACAAGCAAAAGCTGAGAGAGTTCAGCACCACCAAATCAGCTTTACAACAAATGCTAAAGGATCTTCTTCAGGCAAGAAACACAAGAGAAGGAAAAGGGCTACAATAACAAACCCAAAACAATTTAGAAAATGGGAATAGGAACATACATATCGATAATTACCTTAAATGTAAATGGATTAAATGCTCCCACCAAAAGACACAGACTGGATGAATGGATACAGAAACAAGAACCATATATATGCTGTCTACAAGAGACCCACTTCAGACCTAGAGACACATACAGACTGAAAGTGAGGGGATGGAAAAAGATATTCCACGCAAATGGAAACCAAAAGAAAGCTGGAGTAGCAATTCTCATATCAGACAAAATAGACTTTAAAATAAAGACTACTAGAAGACACAAAGAAGGACACTACTAACGATCAAGGGATCGATCCAAGAAGAAGATATAACAATTGTAAATATTTATGCACCAGATGTAGGGGCACCTCAATACATCAGGCAACTACTAACAGCCATAAAAGGGGAAATCGACAGTAACACATTCATAGTAGGGGACTTTAACACCCCACTTTCACCAATGGAGAAATCATCCAAAATGAAAATAAATAAGGAAACACAAGCTTTAAATGATACATTAAACAAGATGGACTTAATTGATATTTTTAGGACATTCCATCCAAAAACAACAGAATACGCATTTTTCTTAAGTGCTCATAGAACATTCTCCAGGATACATCATATCTTGGGTCACAAATCAAGCCTTGGTAAATTTAAGAAAATTGAAATTGTATCAAGTATCTTTTCCAACCACAATGCTATGAGACTAGATACCAATTACAGGAAAAGATCTGTGAAAAATACAAACATATGGAGGCTAAACAATACACTACTTAATAACGAAGTGATCACTGAAGAAATCAAAGAGGAAATCAAAAAATACCTAGAAACAAATGACAATGGAGACACGACGACCCAAAACCTATGGGATCCAGCAAAAGCAGTTCTAAGAGGGAAGTTTATAGCAATACAATCCTACCTTAAGAAACAGGACACATCTTGAATAAACAACCTAACCTTGCACCTAAAGCAATTAGAGAAAGAAGAACAACAACAACAAAAAAAAAAACCCAAAGTTAGCAGAAGGAAAGAAATCATAAAAATCAGATCAGAAATAAATGAAAAAGACATGAAGGAAATGATAGCAAAGATCAATAAAACTAAAAGATGATTCTTTGAGAAGATAAACAAAATTGATAAACCATTAGCCAGACTCATCAAGAAAAAAAGGGTAACGACTCAAATCAATTGTGTTAGAAATGAAGAAGAAGTAACACCTGACACTGCAGAAATACAGAAGATCATGAGAGATTACTACAAGCACCTCTATGCCAATAAAATGGACAGCCTAGAAGAAATGGACAAATTCTTAGAAATGCACAACCTGCCAAGACTGAATCAGGAAGAAATAGAAAATATGAATGGAACAATCACAAGCACTGAAATTGAAACTGTGATTAAAAATCTTCCAACAAACAAAAGCCCAGGACCAGATGGCTTCACAGGCGAAATCTATCAAACATTAAGAGAAGAGCTAACACCTACCCTTCTCAAACTCTTCCAAGATATAGCAGAGGGAGGATCACTCCCAAACTCATTCTTCGAGGCCACCATAACCC